AAAAAGAACAACAAGGCAATAACTGAAGGTTTGTGGGTCATGAACAACTAAGGCATGATGTTTTCAACAACTGATTAAGAAGGCTGAGGCAAGAGCAAGTTTGGGAGAACAGAGACAATCAGAAGCTCTGCTGAGGGTACATGATATGTGCACCTAGTAGCCATCCAAAAGGAAAGAGTTAGCCAGCCAGTCGGCTATGCAGAAGAGAAATAAATGTTCATGGGAGTCATGCACTATGCTGAGTTATGCAGTCACCTTCAATCTGGGACACAAAATCACATCTGAGAGTGAAGAAGGAGTACCCCTAAAAGGGAAAGTAAGACAGAGGCAGAGACAGGTTCTACCTGCCTCATAACTGTGCCAGAAAATGAGAGGCAGACCAGATATGGAAGCTCATATATCAAAAGGAGAGTTAAGAAATCTGTTAGTTTCCCATACTCATTTTTCCCCTTAAATTTTTGACTGTGCCTACTACATTTATTTCAGCACTTGACATTCTTTAAAAGGAAATACAGTGAGATTGTATAGAGAGAGCATGGTTGCAACTAACTTGTTGGAGACCTGTTTGAACTGCTCAGCCCTCAGGGCCTTCAAGTCTTGCCAGGATACCAAATCACAGGTCATCTCAAGAGTTCCTGCAAACAGCTCTCAGACTTTACACTGGAAACAGAATCTATCTGAGATAGTCAAAACAGTTGGGATGGCATGAATGGTTTGTAGAGGTAGTGGGAAGAACCTGCCCATCTGGGACTCTTTGATCAAAGGATGTCCAGAAAAGCATGAGGTTCTGGATCACTCATGCGAAGACAGTATTCTTTGACATTCATCTGAAGAATGTCCAACTCACAACTTTCCCCAAAGCTGAAAACTTTAAGGAAGATGCTTGGTCCAGCCATTTTGCCTGTAGCAGACCTTATTGAACAACTGTATGCCCAGGTTTGCCAAAAGAACAGAGGGTGAGGTCAACCATAATCAGTGTCTTGATGGAGACCACTGGGTATCCAAGCTGTATACACCCCCTTTCCCAAATAGCAAATTAGTCACTGGGTTGATAAATGGATCATAAGGAGCTGAAGAGTTGGCTGAGCATTTAAGAGCACTGCCTATTCTTCCAGAGTTTCAGTTTCCAGCATCCTTGGGGTGGATCACAACCATCTGTCACTTCAGTTGTAGGGCATCCAATTCCCTCTTCTAACCACTGCAGCAACCAGACTTGCACATGGTATGGAGATGTGTATGAAGCCCAAAACACCCAAACACATAAAATAAAGTTAAAAAGAAAAAGGTGATGATCACAAGTGACTCCAGATTTTCAAGTGTTCATCACATTAAAAACTCACTGACTACAAATCTGTAACTTAGGGGTCAAATGTGCCCACTTCATATAAAGTACCAGCCACTTATGAGAAAGGGTAATACAGGGATCTGAAAAAAGTATGATGTCCTTCATAGCTCAACGTGGAGACTAAAGAAGAGTGATTTGAGAAGACTTGTCTACAAGAAAATCATAAGACAAAATTGGTGTGACAGTCACTGCCCTGCTGTCTCTCAACACCAAATCAACCCATCTGCACTGTATTGCCTTGCACTACTTTCTCAGTATTCCCTAGCCAGATAGATTCCTGTTAGTTTCCATCAATGAAAGAGACTGGTGTGAAATTGGAAGGCAAGGAGGAGGGAAGATGCACTCTTTTTCTATTTACAGTTCTTGTAAGTTTCTTTCCAGCAGCAGAGAACAGTTATAACACCAGTGATGCACAACCTCCAGTAGGCTATGCTACTTCAGGGACAGAGGAGGAGCAAAAACATGCCAGTTCCACAGGCCGCCAGTCTCACACCATCTCTCCTTCAACAGTCTGAATACCAGCCAAATGGTAGCTTCCCTAGAGATTGCCCAACAGGAATGCAATGTGCACCATTCAAATATCAAAGCACCCACCACACAGGTCAATTCCCTGATCTCTGAGGGAGAACAGATCTGTTGGTCACTTCCACCCCAATTTCAGCCACTTTCGACAGGTGCTGTGTGTCTTGGAGTTAGTTCTCTTTCAGATTTTTCAGGCTTCCAGTCCTACTCTATGGTGGATTTTATATATATGACAGACTCTTCTCTCTAAAAGGTGGACATAATTCATCTCTCATTGAATGTGGCTGGGCTTAGAGACTTGTTTCTGATGTGTAGAATATGATGAGTATAATAGAATCATTAAAAGTATCACAGCATCCTGTTCACCCTTTTAGGTCCTTCTCTGGGAACTGCTATGGTATGAGGACACACAAACAGCCCTGTGGAGATGCCTGTGCAGCAAGGAACTGATATCTTTGGCCAACTGCTGGCAAGAAGCTGAGGCCTGCTGCCAATAACTATGTGAGTGGACCATCTTGTAAGCAGGTTATTCATTGTCAGCCAAGCTTTAAGGTGACTCCAACCCTGTTCAGTATACTGACTGAAACATCATGAGAAGGTACTCCTGAATTTATGAACCTGAGGACTATGAGATAATATGTAATGTGTTTTTTGCGTTGAGGTAGCTGAGGTCTACCAAAACAGATAGGCTAAGTGGTCAACTCCTTACATCAGTCCTCTCCCCAAGATCCACTTGTTGCTGGATCTTGATTGTAGAGCACAAAGAAACTAAAGCTCTTAAGATAGCATTCTGCGCTGGGGTCACCCTTGTTAACTTCAAATATCCTTTGCTTGCCAGTGGAAAATGAAGTAGTCAAATCCATATAAGATAATAAATCACGTGTTGTAGTATACACCTCTAGTCCAAGCACTTGGCAGGTAATGCAACACCACTCATAGGGGCCAGACTGAAATACGTAAGAGGCACCACTACAAAAACAAACAAGAACAATAGTATTATGGTAACTCATTAATAAATCATTACCTGTGGCTACTTATCTACTGAATGAAAGTCTTTGCATGACAAAATGGTTGATTGTTAATTCAGTAATTATCACCCTGATTAGTACAATAAGGAGTAAGCACGGGAACTAAGGATCAGCTTCTCCTAAGATCAAGACACCAAGCATCAGAGTGTATCACTGGTGGCTACAGAAGAAACTCTTATATCTCAGAGTCACAAGCAGATATGACTGAAAATCAAACCCAAACTAACTGTATGAATTACAGGACTATCATACAAGATAAACTTAGATGAGTCAAGTTTTAATGTGAAAGTTCAGATGCCATTCAGAAGTAGTCAATACCTGACACTTTGAAAGAATGCATTTGTTGGACTTGGGCAAGGATGAGTATTTCTTATCTAATATCCCTAACCCTTAATTACCAGCAGATACAATCTCTGCATTCTGAGGAGAATGGCTTCCCCTTGCATAAATACCTGACGGTAATTTTATGAAAATGTACCACCTTTTAAATCGATGCTTGTTCCCTCACCACCTGGAACTATCTCAAGACCTATTACCAGCACCAGATCTCAACGTGCTCCAGGAAGCAAAAGTCGCATTGCTTCTGGGAAAAGTAAGCTCACATGCCAAAAGAATAGCAAGACTTTAAAAATGCACACTGGCACAAAGTTGAAGTTTAGATGTGAGAATAGACACTAAGAGTATCATACTTTGAAGAATTATATATAATATTAAACCAAATCAAATGTATTACTGTAACTGGAAGAGACTTCAACCCATTGACTGTTTTCTGAAATATGGACCCAAAATTGATCTGGTTTAATCAAGGTGAGTTAGAAAAGTTTCCTTGGCATAAAACTGAAGAAGGAACAAATACTGAGGAAAATAGAAATGTTGGAGAAAGCTTAACTCTCTATAGTTGCCATATTCATCAAGAGAACCAAAATCATGTCCCCTTCACTAAAGAATTTGGATATGTGTTAGTGAGTGGGGAATCACCTCCCAAAAAAGCTGAGTTCAGTGACTGTCTTTTGTAACCAGAGAATGATAACACAAATGAGTTTCCTGGTTTTAGACAGGATGTTGGATTCTGAAATATTCAGGGCCAAATAGTAGGATTTAACCACTATAGTCAATGAAAAATTGATCATCATGGTTGATCCAAGGGTATCTTAAGTCATGACTAATTGATCACAACATTTTGATAATATAAATCAGCACACTAAATTATCATATACATATATATGTATGTATGTATTATGTGCCATAATGAGCAGAGTTGGCTTATAGCAATGGTAAAGCACCTCTTTCACCTGGGTTTTCTCTAAACAAGATAACAGGTGAGTTATTGCTCCCTTTGCAGAATATTCATTTGCTACCGCCAAAATCATATTCTGGAATATTCTTCTAAGTCTTCCACAAGGGTAGGTTTAATTTAATCCTCTTTTTTCAGCCTATGTGAAAGGCAGAAGGACCATGAGTTGTTATAAAGCTATTCAGGTGACAGTTTCAGTTGTAGTTACTGTAACGGGAATCTTAAAAGTTCTTATTAATAAGATCAAACCTGAGGCCAGTTATTGGGGTGAATGCTGGAAGACCAGAGAAGCAGAACAAGCCACAGCTACCTCACCTTGCCAGTTCCTCAGCTGATCCTGTTTTCTCAGACTGGAAGCCTCTGAGTCCTTATCCAAATGAATCTCAGCTGAACTGCTTCTCAAAAGCCTGAATGCTTAACCAGGCAAAAGCTTCAAGTTTCTGGTCTTCATGCTTTATATACCTTTTTGCTTTCTGCTGTCACTTCCTGGGACTAAAGGCTCACTTTCTGGAATTAAAGGCATGAGCTACCATGTCTGGCTGTTTCCGATGTGGCCTTGAACTCACAGAGATCCAGAGGGATTTCTGCCTCTGGAATGCTAGGATTAAAGGCGTGAGTGCCACCATTTTCTAGCCTCTGTATCTAGTGGCTGTTCTGTCTCTGACCCCAGATAAGTTTATTAGGGTACACAATATTTTGGGGAACACAATACCAACACAAGTTACTGCTGCAGGTGTAGTGTTTTCATTGAGATGTTGGTGTATAGTTATTGCTCTGGCACATATCATCATTTTATCTCTAAATCACAAACCTCAGCACAAGTGTTTGTTGTCACCACACAGGGACAGTGGAGTATCTTCACAGTCAATGCTAGCTCTTCCATTGTCTGGCATAATCTGATCCAAAGAGTTCTGACCACTATGACATTTCACAGAACATTCTGATGTCAGTTACATTGATGAAATCATGCTTAATGGGACTTATGAGCAATAGCTGGCAGAAACTACATATTGCAGTAGCGTGCCAGCCAGAAAGTGAGAAATAATGGTCACAATTTTTCAGAGAATGTCTTTTTTGTATTCTTGAAAGAGATGATCCTAGGTCACTCCAATGACTCAAGCTCCTGTACTATTAAACCCTTAGCCTATTTGAAGTCCTTTAACAAAATACTTTATTCTGATTAATTTATAAATAATAGAAATTCATTTCTAACAGTTTCAGAGGCTAGAAAGTCCAAGCTCGGGATAGAGATAGAGTTGATGTCTTAATGACTATCATGTTGAAATTTAATTACAACATAAACTTGGGGAGGAGATAAATATTCAAGACACAGCAAACTCTGTGTGTCACACAGCATCATAGCTTTGGTATCTTTTATATACAGAGAATGTAACTAAATCCTTCCTAATCTCAGGCACTGGTTTATATATGACAGCTCAAAGACCTAGGCTGCACATGGTTCATCCTCATCATGCAGTGCGTTAAGTTGAAAGGCTCACTTGAGATATAGTGAGTTGTGAGGATGAGGACTGCGTTACCTCAGCAAGTCAAAGTTGAAGGGATAAGGTCCTTCTGCATCCACTACTCTTTCTATTCCATCACACTAGCTAGTGCTAATTGCTCAACTGCTTATCATCCAACAGGGGTCTTGTAGTCATGAAGGTAAAGGAGGTGAAAGAAGTTCTCAGTGAGGAATCATCCATTCCAGGTACACTCCTCTTCTCTACTTCACACCAAGTCTTCTTCTTCCTAAGATTTTTTTCACATTTCGTTTATCCTTGATCTCAGATAACCTCTCACCAGGTAATGGCCTTGCATTCCTTTTCTCTAGAGTCTTGACTTCAGCTCATTTCCTCATAGAAACCTTCTCCAGTCCCCTTACCCCCAAACTTCAATTCCTTCCTTCTTTTTCTTGTTTCCCGGAGCCCACATTGTTATTCAGCATAGTATAAGTTTACATTTTTTGTTCCATTGTTCATCTCCCTCGCTGGACTATAAATGCCAAAAGAGGAGGAGTACACTCCTAATGACTGTATCTCCAGCCCTTAGAATAGCATCTGGCATCCAGCCAGATTTCCAATAAATATCTGTTGAATAAATAAACAGACATGCAACCATGTTTAAAAAAAAAAAAACATGAGAATAAAAATGCCAGGGACATGTTACACAGCTTTCAAGCTTTCTCCCTTTCTTCCTGAGCCCAGGCAACATCTTATCTAGATCTTGAATAGATTCTATTTTATGATTTTATTCCAAAAATACCCAGCTGTTTGGGGAGGATGGGGAGAGACAGACAGCTCTGATAAATTATAAATGCCCTAGGAAATTTCAAAAATTCTATTCCCTGCATTCTTCATAATACATTATACTTTGACATTTATAAAAATGAAAAACAAATAGAAATTAATCTCATCTTTAAAATATGAATCCTATAAATGTTATTGAACTATATTTTTATCACACATTTTCAAAGTATGTATAATACTTGGCTTTGAAATCCATTACTCCTTTACAACTTAGGATTTTTGAATTAATGGATGTTTACTTTTTATAACCATTAATACTTCTGCCCCCAATACGTTTGCTAATCCTGCATTATTCTCATTTGTTTCTAGCCTGCACTATAACAACAGTGTTAATACTCACTTTTTAACCTTCTTACAAGAGTTAGTATCTAGTGGACCAGGAAATGAAAGCATGCTGCGGGGACTGTAAGATCAGGAAAGTTGGATCTCATAAGCAATGCAAGTGACTAAAAACTACATAATTTCAATAAACATAGATGCTGTATCTAAAACCATAGCATGTTCCTGTCAATAGGTCTTTGTGGACAGATTGAAGAAGAGACAACAATTTCCGCAAGGAAGTCCACACACAAGCCCCATCTAGAGTTGGCTCTGGGGGAAAGATACAGCAAAGGACTATTGAAAAGCATTGTCAGCCTAGACAATTTACAGGCATATGAAGAAGGGGATGCCAGAAAGTGATAAACTAACCAGGTCTCCACAAGCAATTTGAGGAATAGGCAGTATGTGTATTTAAAGTCAAGGACGAGATTTCCTCTTTAGCAGTTTCAAGGTTGTGTTAACTCAATTATTATGGCTTGTGATGAAGCGCACATAATACAGATGAAGTCAGAAGAGCATATTTATTGTCTGCTAACTGTTCCACTTTGAACCATGTCCACTCAAATCCCTTCCCTTTCAACTCCACACATTTATGCTTTATTGTTTGCACATAGGTATCAGAATATCTACATAAAAGTAAGGCAGATAGTTATAAGATTTGAGAAATCAATGCTTAAAGATTAAGCTTGTGACACATCCATTTCTCTTTCAGATTTGAAAGGTCTCACTTTACAGACATTGCTGCCTAACGTGATATATTTTATTTATTAAATTACTTTTTAGCTGTCAACTCTCAAAAAAATGTAGGCTCAAAAAGGTCAGAGATTCTGTTGTTAAAATTGTTTTATACACTTATATAACCTCAGCATTTTGAAAGTAGTGCCTGGCACATAGAAGGCACTTAATAAATATTTATAGAGTGAAAGACACAGTCAAAATAGCTTCCTAAGTGAATAAACATACACAGTACAGCTAATTCATTACACTTATGTGTCTATGTAAAAACTGAGCCTCATAGGTTTGGATCAACAGTCCTTGGAAACTACAACATAATTAATATAATTCTTGGCTTTGAGGAATTTATAGTTTGGTTAAGGAATCAAATCTAAACCATGAAATGCTTTTCTAATGTGTGAATGTAAAATAAGTAAGCAAAACATTGTGTAGACTATCCATAAGACAGATTCCATGGGAAGAAAAGCAATATGACCTTCATAGAGAGCTTCTTAAGGAAGATGGATTCTGAATCAGTCTTTGAAGCAGAAGAGTAAAACTTTCACCACAGAGAAAAGAAAAAGCAAAGGAATACATAAGCTTTCAAAATCATCACTTACAGAAAGACATAGTAAGATAAGCTTAAAGGAAAATAAACTTGAGGGGAACCCATGGTCTGGGCTACAGAAATTTAGGGATGCTAATGATGCACACTGGGTTTCAGATGCAGGATCCATTAAGTGACTGAAGCCCCAGAAAACATTTTTTGGGGTGTTTACTGTGTGCTAGAAATTATGTTAGGTACTGAATAACAGAAAGTCAAAAAATTGAAGTCTCTGTTCCCGTAAAGCTTACAATCTAGTGAGAGAGGAAAAAAAAATATGGGAATAAATACAGTCCCTCATGTAGCCATCAGTGTTTGACAGACATACATTATTACGACTCTAGCAAAGTTCCAGAGAAGATCATACATTCATAGAAAAGCCTTCTGGCGTAGAAGCCCATGAGTTGAGGCTTTGATGACTGTATTTGGAAAGTTGCAAATAGTAGGCAAAGATTCTGGTTACAACCTTAATATGAACACCAAAGGATGTGGGAAAGTAACTGCTGAGATCAATGGACAAAAGAAGCCACATCTCAGAGGGTGTACCTTACAGAAAGGTAGGACACTGCTTGCCCTACAGAGGTCCCTGGCACAGAAACATAGCAAGACTGAGAAAGACTGAGTATCCAACACTGGACAAACATCTATGAGAATTAAATAAATAAAATGCAAGCTTCACAGGGGAAAAAAGGTGGCATATAGCCCAAATTTTATTGAGAATCAGAACCTCACAGATTCAGGAAACACAACAAAAGCATTAAGGAAATCACACCCAGACATACCAGTTTACAGAAAACTAGAGATAAAGACCAATCACAGAAGAACAGGAGAGAAGACCTGCTGTCTACAGTGAAGGAAAACAAAGGACAGATCATTTTTCTTCAGAAGTGTGTGGTCTAGACCGAAGTCTGGTGATGCAGTACTACAGAGAAAGGAATTTAATTCTTTAGTTCATTGTACTGACCAGTCCAAAGAGGAAATGGCACAACCATCACAGGAGGTGCAAAAAAAAAAAAAAGGTAGACAAAATCCTCTCCCTATTTACGAGAGAAACTATGAGCATCCTGCAGACAGAAAGGAATGTTTATTACCTGATAAAAAGCATCAAAAAAAAAAAGAAAGAAAAGAAAAAAATATTGCCCTGCTTACTACAAAAGACTCAAGTAATGTCCCCTTCTTCAGGGACAAGAGACTTATAACCATTTTCAGTTTATATTGTCGTACTTAGAATTATACTTATCTTCTAAATGTCCAAGATAATAATAAAACAAGAAAAAAGTGAAAGAGCATTTAAAATTAAAACTACTTTACACAAATATGACTACAACTGACTACCCATATAGAAAATTGTAGCAAATAGAATAAATAAGTAGGCTTAGTATATTCATAGGATACAAAATTAATATGAAAAAAATCTATTTTTTGCATGTCAGCAGTGATTATGAAAATTGAGAAAAAACTGCCATTTACAATAGCTTTAAAATATGGAGTACTTGGAGATTGATTTAACAAAGTATGTGCATGAAAATCACAAAACCTTGAGAAGACAATACTGTATGCCCCCCTTGTTCTAACTCTTAGAGACAGCTATCACCAATCCCCCCCATACAACAGGATATTGGTTATTGACTTCTCAATTATTATTTGATTATGTTGAAACACTTTACCAAATATTTAATGCTTAGAGTTTTATCATAAAAGGATGTTGAATCTTAATAAAATTTATTATTTATTTTATGCATTTATTTAGGTGATCATATGGTTTGGTCCTTTGGTAGGGTTCTCATATTATTGATTAATATATCTTGAACCATCCTTGTATTCATGGGATGAATCTCACTTGATCATGGTTAACTAATCTTATTAATGTGCTCTTGCATTTTGTTTGCTAGTTTTTTATTGAGGACTTTCTCATTTGTGCTCAAATAATTTTAAAGGAAAATTTTATAAATCAGA